ACCAGTGATACAGTCATACAGTGTACACAACTTAGGGTGCACCAGTGATACAGTCATACAGTGTACACAACTTATGGTGCACCAGTGATACAGTCATACAGTGTACACAACTTATGGTGCACCATTTGATACAGTCATACAGTGTACACAACTTATGGTGCACCAGTGATACAGTCATACAGTGTACACAACTTATGGTGCACCAGTGATACAGTCATACAGTGTACACAACTTATGGTGCACCAGTGATACAGTCATACAGTGTACACAACTTATGGTGCACCAGTGATACAGTCATACAGTGTACACAACTTATGGTGCACCAGTGATACAGTCATACAGTGTACACAACTTATGGCTGCACCAGTGATACAGTCATACAGGTGTACACAACTTATGGTGCACCAGTGATACAGTCATACAGTGTACACAACTTATGGTGCACCAGTGATACAGTCATACAGGTGTACACAACTTATGGTGCACCAGTGATACAGTCATACAGTGTACACAACTTATGGTGCACCAGTGATACAGTCATACAGTGTACACAACTTAAGGCTGCACCAGTGATACAGTCATACAGTGTACACAACTTATGGTGCACCAGTGATACAGTCATACAGTGTACACAACTTATGGTGCACCAGTGATACAGTCATACAGTGTACACAACTTATGGCTGCACCAGTGATACAGTCATACAGTGTACACAACTTATGGTGCACCAGTGATACAGTCATACAGTGTACAAAAACTTATGGTGCACCAGTGATACAGTCATACAGGTGTACACAACTTATGGTGCACCAGTGATACAGTCATACAGTGTACACAACTTATGGTGCACCATGATACAGTCATACAGTGTACACAACTTATGGTGCACCAGTGATACAGTCATACAGTGTACACAACTTATGGTGCACCAGTGACACAGTCATACAGGTGTACACAACTTATGGTGCACCAGTGATACAGTCATACAGGTGTACACAACTTATGGTGCACCAGTGATACAGTCATACAGTGTACACAACTTATGGTGCACCAGTGATACAGTCATACAGTGTACACAACTTATGGTGCACCAGTGATACAGTCATACATGTACACAACTTATGGCTGCACCAGTGATACAGTCATACAGTGTACACAACTTATGGTGCACCAGTGATACAGTCATACAGTGTACACAACTTATGGTGCACCAGTGATACAGTCATACAGGTGTACACAACTTATGGTGCACCAGTGATACAGTCATACAGGTGTACACAACTTATGGTGCACCAGTGATACAGTCATACAGTGTACACAACTTATGGTGCACCAGTGATACAGTCATACAGTGTACACAACTTATGGTGCACCAGTGATACAGTCATACAGTGTACACAACTTATGGTGCACCAGTGATACAGTCATATAGGTGTACACAACTTATGGTGCACCAGTGATACAGTCATACAGTGTACACAACTTATGGTGCACCAGTGATACAGTCATACAGTGTACACAACTTAGGGTTTGCACCAGTGATACAGTCATACAGTGTACACAACTTATGGTGCACCAGTGATACAGTCATATAGGTGTACACAACTTATGGTGCACCAGTGATACAGTCATACAGTGTACACAACTTATGGTGCACCATGATACAGTCATACAGTGTACACAACTATATGGTGCACCAGTGATACAGTCATACAGTGTACACAACTTATGGGCACCAGTGATACAGTCATATAGGTGTACACAACTTATGGCTGCACCAGTGATACAGTCATACAGTGTACACAACTTAAGGCTGCACCAGTGATACAGTCATACAGTGTACACAACTTATGGTGCACCAGTGATACAGTCATACAGTGTACACAACTTAAGGCTGCACCAGTGATACCAGTCATACAGTGTACACAACTTAAGGCTGCACCAGTGATACAGTCATACAGTGTACACAACTTAAGGCTGCACCAGTGATACAGTCATACAGTGTACACAACTTATGGTGCACCAGTGATACAGTCATACAGTGTACACAACTTAAGGCTGCACCAGTGATACAGTCATACAGTGTACACAACTTAAGGCTGCACCAGTGATACAGTCATACAGTGTACACAACTTAAGGCTGCACCAGTGATACAGTCATACAGTGTACACAACTTATGGTGCACCAGTGATACAGTCATACAGTGTACACAACTTAAGGCTGCACCAGTGATACAGTCATACAGTGTACACAACTTAAGGCTGCACCAGTGATACAGTCATACAGTGTACACAACTTAAGGCTGCACCAGTGATACAGTCATACAGTGTACACAACTTAAGGCTGCACCAGTGATACAGTCATACAGTGTACACAACTTATGGCTGCACCAGTGATACAGTCATACAGTGTACACAACTTATGGTGCACCAGTGATACAGTCATACAGTGGTACACAACTTATGGTGCACCAGTGATACAGTCATACAGGTTAACACAACTTATGGTGCACCAGTGATACAGTCATACAGTGTACACAACTTATGGTGCACCAGTGATACAGTCATACAGTGTACACAACTTATGGTGCACCAGTGATACAGTCATACAGGTATACACAACTTATGGCTGCACCAGTGATACAGTCATACAGTGTACACAACTTATGGTGCACCAGTGATACAGTCATACAGTGTACACAACTTATGGTGCACCAGTGATACAGTCATACAGGTATACACAACTTATGGTGCACCAGTGATACAGTCATACAGTGTACACAACTTATGGTGCACCAGTGATACAGTCATACAGTGTACACAACTTATGGTGCACCAGTGATACAGTCATACAGGTATACACAACTTATGGTGCACCAGTGATACAGTCATACAGTGTACACAACTTATGGTGCACCAGTGATACAGTCATACAGTGTACACAACTTATGGTGCACCAGTGATACAGTCATACAGTGTACACAACTTAAGGCTGCACCAGTGATACAGTCATACAGTGTACACAACTTATGGTGCACCAGTGACACAGTCATACAGTGTACACAATTTTAAGGCTGCACCATGATACAGTCATACAGTGTACACAACTTATGGTGCACCAGTGATACAGTCATACAGTGTACACAACTTATGGCTGCACCAGTGATACAGTCATACAGGTGTACATAACTTAAGGCTGCACCAGTGATACAGTCATACAGGTGTACATAACTTAAGGCTGCACCAGTGATTCAGTCATACAGGTGTACACAACTTAAGGCTGCACCATTGATACAGTCATACAGGTGTACACAACTTAAGGCTGCACCATTGATACAGTCATACAGGTGTACACAACTTAAGGCTGCACCAGTGATACAGTCATACAGGTGTACACAACTTAAGGCTGCACCAGTATTACAGTCATACAGGTGTACACAACTTACGGCTGCACCAGTGATACAGTCATACAGTGTACACAACTTATGGCTGCACCAGTGATACAGTCATACAGTGTACACAACTTACGGCTGCACCAGTGATACAGTCATACAGGTGCAGATAAATAGTTAAATAAACAAACGAAATCAAACATCAGTTTAAATCCAACATACACTTTATTTACTGTACAAAATGCATAGCATGGGTATCATGCCAAGATCAGATGATGGCTGGGCTGATTACTGCTCTGGCTGGGCCTTCACCATCGCTCTGGTGTGATGCTGATTGACCTTCATGAACATCAGCCTGTCAATGTTTCCATCTGAGAGGGTGGTTCTCTTGACACTCTGAGATATCTTTGCCTATAGAGTGTAGGTGCTTAACTGCAGCACTGGCTGGGATGACGATTTTGTACTTATTGAATAGGTGGATCAAGACCTGCTCACCCAATAAAGCGACTTCACTCGTGACCTCCTTCGAGCGGTCTTCAGCCAGGTCTTCACCCATGCTGTGTGCCTTCGACTTCAGTGACTGTCCCGGAACTGAGTGATGCTGCTGGAGAATCGTCTTCATCCTCATTAATGGTGGTGCTGCTCTCCTCACCGCTTTCCCACTACCAACAACTATGAATTTTTTTTAGCGGACTCAAAATAGCGGAACTTTATTTAGAGGAAGCTCATTGGTCCGCTAATGGTTTCCGAAATTAGCTGAAATGCTAATCCGCTAAACAAAAAGTTAGTTCCACTAATTAACGGTTAGCGGAACTGTGCCCACCACTGAAGATACCTGCTGTCCATGTTCACATATCAATAAAATAGGTACCTGTGTTAGTCGACTAGTGTGGGTCGCATCCTGGGGACAAAACTGTCCTAGAAAGTCGCTTGCATAACAAGGAACTTTCTATATAGTAGTACGTCACTGATGTCAGCTATGGTCTGTATACCTTGTACATGTACTTGTGGAAATAAAGATATTATTATTAATATTATGGCTCTCTACGGTAGTAGGAGTTATACAGCACCTGGGTGAGGAAGGAGCAGGCTAGACGACATAATATTATGATAGACAGAGGAAGTGACAACTGAAGAAAGACCTAGACTAATGAAATCAGGGAACAGGTGGAGTTTGAACCTCTGTCAAGTGAGTCCTAAAATTTGCAGGTCAGTGCGTTAACAACCCGTTTTCAGTCGTGTTATTACATGTCACAGGTGACGCCGTCACACTCCCCACGACAGCTCTGTGCCATCTCTCCAGGCTAGAGGATGTGGGGGGCTACTGGGAGACAGTCTACGTGAGATGGAATCCATTGAAGACTTACTTTGTGCTGGAAGAGTGACTAGTTTATTACGCAGCCGCAGATCATCCTGTGGTACGGTCACAATGGGTGTCTGTCAGATCTCTTCAGGCTTAATCGCTGTATAGCCCTTGTGGCTTAGCGCTTCTTTTTGATTATAATAATAATAATAATTCAAGCTTAATCACAACCTCAAAACTTTACATTACAGTTTTATATTTTATATTTTGCTCATACAGCTAATATATGAAATAAAACACGCAGATACAATCTTAAGAAAAATCTATTTATTACATCTGCAAATATTAGTCAATTACCAGGTTATAATATCACATAACAGTTAATTTATCCAGCCTGGGCAAAATGTACATACAATCTCTTTTTTTTCATATATAATTAACAGTGAAGTTATTTTCGATTTTCTGTTTGCTTGGTCGCGTCTCTAAACGGCTGGATGTTAAGACAGACTGAAATATAATGTTCTAGTTTAATGCCCTGTCTCTGTCCACACACTTTACATTTCATGTCCTTGCCATCTTCAGATAAGATAAGATAAGATAAGATAAGATTTCGTTCGGATTTTTAACCCCGGAGGGTTAGCCACCCAGGATAACCCAAGAAAGTCAGTGCGTCATCGAGGACTGTCTAACTTATTTCCATTGGGGTCCTTAATCTTGTCCCCCAGGATGCGACCCACACCAGTCGACTAACACCCAGGTACCTATTTGCTGCTAGGTGAACAGGACAATAGGTGTAAGGAAACGTGTCGAAATGTTTCTACCCGCCGGGAATCGAACCCGGGCCCTCCGTGTGTGAAGCGGGAGCTTTAGCCACCAGGCCACCGGGCCACCCAAATTGTACTGCCAAAAAATGTGTATAATGTAGCAATTAGTCCTGTGGTCTACTGGCCTTGTTATCTTGTCCACACACGTTTTACTAGACACATTTCATTATGACTGGCAATGGATCTGCTAGTTCTTCTTTGACCTGTTTTAATTTTTCAGCCTGTAACGAGTACCCCCGGCTGAGGTGGAAGATGAGAGAGAGCAAAGTGAAGAGCCTGGTAGATAGCGAGATCTCATGAAGGACAGTGGGACGGGTCCAGCCCTTAATCCCTAAGAAAACAAAAATACTGCTTTCTCCGGCATCATCCCTGAGGGATGGGCACTGTTAAATTTCACGTAAATATGTACCATCGTGGTGGGTGGTTCATATGTACCATCGTGGTAAATATGGGTGGTACATATGCACTATCGTGATGCGGTGGTTGGGGTGTGAGAATTACATGTGACAAACCTATGTTGAAGACTACGTGACATTGACTATAAGTTTATGAGGAACTATCTTATGGCAAGTATATTAGATGACAATATTCTACAATAACTCAAGTCCAAGTATATATACACACTGTGTAACATAGTAACAATCATGTACACACTTGAGAATATTATCACTCGAGCACCGCCTCTAAACACCTCAATTTTCTTCACTAGAGGCAAAGTTTTAGGCTTAAAATTCCTTTTTGCACCTTCACCAACACTAGATTTCGTTTTTGATGCCATAATTAATATTTAGAGACAACACAGGGCGACGAAAAGATGGGAAATGGATCTGATCAGGGAGTGTCTTGTCGAGCTAAACAAGCGAAGTCTGTTACACACCCTGATCCAGTTGGTACCTGACAGTGACCAGTACATGGACGAAGAGGAACCTCGATGCTGATCTTAATTTCAGTGTCTGCTATTGCAGGAGGGAGGGTTTGGTGATGGCAGAGTCTGGCTTACTGATGGAGGATGCTGGTGGAGGGATGGTGGATATCCAGATGGGTAAGTACACACCACCTGCGGATGTCTTTTCTGAAGGATACACAATCCTCGACGCATCAGTCACGGGGAGTCGATCAGGGTAGATGATGTTCGATCTGGAAGTTCCTGTATTTGAAAGAGAAAGCCGCGTATTATCATAAGGCCTTATATTCGTAGGAGAAGGCCTTATATTATAAATAGGAGGCCTTGTCCTCGAAACAGAAGCTCTTCTATCCGTAAAAGGAGGCCTTGCATTAGGAAGAAAAGGCCTTGTATTCGAAATAGAAGACCTTATATTCGTAGGTAAATACATTAGAACTTTACCAGAAATCACAACCGTTCCCTGCTGTATAACATCCTTAGCCGGCACGAAGGATGCTGAAGTCGAAGACGCTGATGAATTCCTTTCCTGCAGAGCTTCCTGCAGGACATCGGCGGGTGAGGCGGATGCTGGTTCGCGTGTGTGCTCCAGTTTCTGTTGAAGACGTCCTCTGTGAGGCTGGTGCCGTTGAGCGCTGAGCTGCAAGGGAAGCTGGACGCTATGGGGAGGCGAACGAGGAGCCGGGATTGAAATCCGTTCTTCGGGAATATTGAAAAGGGAAACAGGAGGCCTGGGGGTGTTCCATTCCGTGCCTGGGGAAGGAAAGGGAATAGGTACTTGCTGCACATCCAGGTGACTTTGCTGGCTGTGACTAGGTGTCACTGACCGCTCAGGTGTGTCACCTAAATGGTCAGGGAGGACCAGGGTAGTGGTGACGCTGGAAACTGTAAAGGAAGGGAACCAGTCCTGGTATCAAAAGGAATTCGGCAAAAATAAGTCTGGCTATCTCGCTGTCAGCGGACGGAGGATCAAGTCTCCACCACTCACACGGACTAACCACTCTAATAATAATAATAATAATAATAATAATAATAATAATAATAATATAATAATAATAATAATAATAATAATAATAATAATAATAATAATAATAATAATATAATAATAATAAAGTTGGGGTGGGGGTCACTAGCACCAAAAAAGTTGGGGTGGGGTCACTAGCACCAAAAAAGTTGGGGTGGGGTCACTAGCACCAACAAAGTTGGGGTGGGGTCACTAGCACCAAAAAAGTTGGGGTGGGGTCACTAGCACCAAAAAAGTTGGGGTGGGGTCACTAGCACCAACAAAGTTGGGGTGGGGTCACTAGCACCAAAAAAGTTGGCGTGGGGTCACTAGCATCAACAAAGTTGGGGTGGGGTCACTAGCACCAAAAAAGTTGGGGTGGGGTCACTAGCACCAAAAAAGTTGGGTGGGGTCACTAGCATCAAAAAGTTGGGGTGGGGTCACTAGCACCAAAAAGTTGGCGTGGGGTCACTAGCATCAACAAAGTTGGGGTGGGGTCACTAGCACCAAAAAGTTGGGGTGGGGTCACTAGCATCAACAAAGTTGGGGTGGGGTCACTAGCACCAACAAAGTTGGGATGGGGGTCACTAGCATCAACAAAGTTTGGGTGGGGTCACTAGCTTCAACAAAGTTGGGGTGGGGGTCACTAGCATCAACAAAGTTGGGGTGGGGTCACTAGCACAACAAAGTTGGGGTGGGGGTCACTAGCATCAACAAAGTTGGGGTGGGGGTCACTAGCATCAACAAAGTTGGGGTGGGGTCACTAGCACCAACAAAGTTGGGGTGGGGGTCACTAGCACCAACAAAGTTGGGGTGGAGTCACTAGCACCAACAAAGTTGGGGTGGGGGTCACTAGCACCAACAAAGTTGGGGTGGGGTCACTAGCATCAACAAAGTTGGGGTGGGGGTCACTAGCATCAACAAAGTTGGGGGGGTCACTAGCACCAACAAAGTTGGGGTGGGGGTCACTAGCCAACAAAGTTAGGGTGGGGTCACTAGCACAACAAAGTTGGGGTGGGGTCACTCAGCACCAACAAAGTTGGGGTGGGGGTCACTAGCATCAACAAAGTTGGGGTGAGGGTCACTAGCACCAACAAAGTTGGGGTGGGGGTCACCAGCACCAACAAAGTTCGGGTGGGGGTCACCAGCACCAACAAAGTTGGGGTGGGGGTCACCAGCACCAACAAAGTTGGGGTGGGGGTCACCAGCACCAACAAAGTTGGGGTGGGGGTCACTAGCACCAACAAAGTTGGGGTGGGGGTCACTAGCACCAACAAAGTTGGGGTGGGGGTCACTAGCACCAACAAAGTTGGGGTGGGGGTCACTAGCACCAACAAAGTTGGGGTGGGGGTCACTAGCATCAACAAAGTTGGGGTGGGGGTCACTAGCACAACAAAGTTGGGGTGGGGGTCACTAGCACCAACAAAGTTGGGGTAGGGTCATAGCACCAAAAAGTTGGGGTAGGGGTCACTAGCACCAACAAAGTTGGAGTGGGGGTCACTAGCACCAACAAAGTTGGGGTGGGGGGTCACCAGCACCAACAAAGTTGGGGTGGGGGTCACCAGCACCAACAAAGTTGGGGGTGGGGGTCACCAGCACCAACAAAGTTGGGGTGGGGGTCGCCAGCACCAACAAAGTTGGGGTGGGGGTCACCAGCACCAACAAAGTTGGGGTGGGGGTCACCAGCACCAACAAAGTTGGGGTGGGGGTCGCCAGCACCAACAAAGTTGGGGTGGGGGTCACCAGCACCAACAAAAATGGGGTGGGGGTCACCAGCACCAACAAAGTTGGGGTGGGGGTCACCAGCGCCAACAAAGTTGGGGTGGGGGTCACCAGCACCAACAATGTTGGGGTGGGGGTCACCAGCACCAACAAAGTTGGGGTGGGGGTCACTAGCACCAACAAAGTTGGGGTGGGGGTCACCAGCACCAACAAAGTTGGGGTGGGGGTCACCAGCACCAACAAAGTTGGGGTGGGGGTCACTAGCACCAACAAAGTTGGGGTGGGGGTCACCAGCACCAACAAAGTTGGGGTGGGGGTCACTAGCACCAACAAAGTTGGGGTGGGGGTCACTAGGACCAACAAAGTTGGGGTGGGGGTCACCAGCACCAACAAAGTTGGGGTGGGGGTCACCAGCACCAACAAAGTTGGGGTGGGGTCACCAGCACCAACAAAGTTGGGGTGGGGGTCACTAGCACCAACAAAGTTGGGGTGGGGGTCACCAGCACCAACAAAGTTGGGGTGTGGGTCACTAGCACCAACAAAGTTGGGGTGGGGGTCACTAGCAGTAACAACGTTGGGGTGGGGGTCACTAGCACCAACAAAGTTGGGGTGGGGGTCACCAGCACCAACAAAGTTGGGGTGGGGGTCACCAGCACCAACAAAGTTGGAGTGGGGGTCACTAGCACCAACAAAGTTGGGGTGGGGGTCACCAGCACCAACAAAGTTGGGGTGGGGGTCACCAGCACCAACAAAGTTGGGGTGGGGGTCACTAGCACCAACAAAGTTGGGGTGGGGGTCACCAGCACCAACAAAGTTGGGGTGGGGGTCACCAGCACCAACAAAGTTGGGGTGGGGGTCACTAGCACCAACAAAGTTGTAGTGGGGGTCACTAGCACCAACAAAGTTGGGGTGGGGGTCACCAGCACCAACAAAGTTGGAGTGGGGGTCACTAGCACCAACAAAGTTGGGGTGGGGGTCACCAGCACCAACAAAGTTGGGGTGGGGGTCACCAGCACCAACAAAGTTGGGGTGGGGGTCACTAGCACCAACAAAGTTGGGGTGGGGGTCACCAGCACCAACAAAGTTGGGGTGGGGCTCACCAGCACCAACAAAGTTGGGGTGGGGGTCACCAGCACCAACAAAGTTGGGGTGGGGGTCACCAGCACCAACAAAGCTGGGGTGGGGGTCACCAGCACCAACAAAGTTGGGGTGGGGGTCACCAGCACCAACAAAGTTGGGGTGGGGGTCACCAGCACCAACAAAGTTGGGGTGTGGGTCACTAGCACCAACAAAGTTGGGGTGGGGGTCACTAGCACCAACAAAGTTGGAGTGGGGGTCACCAGCACCAACAAAGTTGGAGTGGGGGTCACCAGCACCAACAAAGTTGGAGTGGGGGTCACCAGCACCAACAAAGTTAGTAATTTTCAAGACTTTAATACATTCTTAGATACTTTTTGCAAATTAAGCTAATTTCTATAACGTAAATCTGAGCAAGACTATGTTACCTATGTAGGATAATTATTGCATAGGTTAGGTTAGGTAAGGTTTGTCAGGTTAGGTCATATTGGGTTAGGTTAGGTTAGGTAAGGTTTGTCAGGTTAGGTCATATTAGGTTAGGTTAGGTTAGGTAAGGTTTGTCAGGTTAGGTCATATTGGGTTAGGTTAGGTTAGGTAAGGTTTGTCAGGTTAGGTCATATTAGGTTAGGTTAGGTTAGGTAAGGTTTGTCAGGTTAGGTCATATTGGGTTAGGTTAGGTTAGGTAAGGTTTGTCAGGTTAGGTCATATTAGGTTAGGTTAGGTTAGGTTAAGTTGGTAAGGTTTGTCAGGTTAGGTTAGGTTAAGTTAGGGTAGGTTAGGTTAGGTAAGGTTTGTTAGGAAACAGGACAAGTGTTACCTGACGGGGGTCTTAGTCATATAATGACTCATAGCTGGAGCATTTGGTTACCTGACAGAGGCCTTCCGCTGGCTTACACCTCCACACCCTGTAAAAACTAATGGTTATTATTATAACCATTTTATATCTGCCTGGAGTTTCACCATTCACTCGCCATGGGTTCTAACCCCCCATCCGTTCTGGAGTTTCACCACTCACTCGCCATGGGTTCTAACCCCCCATCCGTTCTGGAGTTTCACCACTCACTCGCCATGGGTTCTAAGCCCCCATCCGTTCTGGAGTTTCACCACTCACTCGCCATGGGTTCTAACCCCCCATCCGTTCTGGAGTTTCACCACTCACTCGCCATGGGTTCTAACCCCCCATACGTTCTGGAGTTTCACCACTCACTCGCCATGGGTTCTAACCCCCCATACGTTCTGGAGTTTCACCACTCACTAGCAATGGGTTCTAACCCCCATACGTTCTGGGTTTTGCGGGAAACATTGTAATTTTTAAAGGGGGGGAATTGTAGGAGTTATCTGGAAAAAGAGTTAATGGGAGATTGATTTAGTATAATTGGACATTGTAGGAGTATAACTGGGCATTGGGGTAAATTGGAGCTTTATAGAAATGCGGGAGATTGAGGGGAAATTTAATGTTTTGGCTTTGGTAGTTAAGCGGGCATTGTATTTAATTTTTTTAATGTGGAGCATTGTAGGTTTAGTTTATGCGGAAAAATTGGGAGTATAAGTGGAGCATGGGGGGTAAAATTTTTGGAGTTGGGAGAAGGGATTGTGGGAAAATTAATTGTGGGAGTATAATTTTAAAAGTATAAGGGGGGGTTTTGAGTTTGATTTAAAGCGGGTTTGGGGTGTTAAGCGGGCATTGTGGGATATAATGTGGAGCATTTGGGTAAAGGTTTGGGGAGATTTAGGGGAGTATAATGTGGAATTGGGGATATAATGCGGGGAGCTGTAGGTAAAATGCTGGGAAAATTTGTTGGGAGTTAATTGTGGAGATTGAGGTAATAATGGGGGTTGAGGCCAGTTAATGTTTGGGGAGTTTGGGTAGTATAATGTGGAGCATTTTATTTTCTGGGAGATTGTGGGGGGTTTTAAATTGGGAATTGGGGGGAAATGTGGCTTGAGTTTTAAAGCTGGGGGAAAAATTGGGGTATAAAAGGGGGGCGGGATTAGGGGGTTTGGGGAAAATGCGGGAGCATTGTAAGGTACAACTGGGCATTGGGGTTAAAATTTTTGGGGCTTTTTGGGTAGTTTTAATGCT